GCGACTTCTCATTCATGTTTTTCTGTGGCTGTAAACACCTCAGCAATAATGACTTTGTTCCTATAACATTCCTCTGCAGTGTAAACAGAAAATACAAAGAAGAAAACAAAGGCATAGCCATTAGGGCAGTGGTGGAATACAAACACTGTATAACTAAGGTTAATATGGGGTTAATACTATAGCATTAAAAGTAACTTATTTTAACAGTACTGTTTTGTTTGGTTTATTTGTATTTTTTTTTACCTTTAATTATGCTTTTGCTCTTTCATTACTGGTTTGCTTACACTCATACAGCTCATATTCATGCAAATCAACTTTTTTTTAATATATTTTTTTGTAGTAATACAGTGACATGGTATGTCTGATTCTGCCTTGTTTTTGTTCTACAGCCCCTTTTAGTGACCCAATACCATATTTTGGTATTTTTATAAAGCAGCTATAGGCATTACTGTAGAATTTCAAAATCAGTTGACCCAAACCAGACATAGGGGAAAAAAAGTTTACTACACTTTTATGATGGTCTTAAAATGAACGAATGACATTGCTTTTCTTTCACCTTCTGTAGTCTTAGATAATTGAAGATAAGACTGGCTATATGGCATATTTTTCTTGTCGTAAATGAATACCACAGAAGATCATAAACAGCAGTTAGTTTATCCTACAGTACAAACTAGTATTGTCTGTCTAAATTCCATACCTGTCCAAATATTACCTGTCTTCACACTTGATGTTACTGGTGCTGATGAGATGACAACAACCACCCCAAATATGCCATTACAACGTCTAATTTTTACTGCTAAGTCTTTGATATCACCTAGACTTTTATTGTAACTGCTTTGTGTTGTTATATCTCCAGAGATTCTGCTCATTGTTTGAAACTGACATTAGACTTCTTATTGTCCGGTGCAGTGTAAGTGGAAAGTATTTACCCATGGAGATTTGTCACAGAGTCATGTCTCTAAGTGTGTGGCCCCACAATAACTTGGTGACCTGTCCAGGGTGTCCCCTTCTTCACCCTGAATCAGCTGGGATAGACTCCAGCGCTTCATTGTTTTAACCCCACACTTGGTCTAGCACAGGGGTCGACATGTGGCTCTTTCATACCTCTGCTGCGGGTCCGGCTTTGGAAAATAAATAGTGGATATTTAATTTAAATTTATTTTATTAGTTTGTTAAGTTTTTCTAATGTAATTCTAAATTTGAAGATTATGGTGATCTTGTAACATTGAAATAAAACATGTTTTATTTTTTATCGCTCAAAATATGCGTCACAACCGCCGATGTGCGACACCCACTCTCTGACGTGAAAACACATATCGTTCTGCATTACTGTCCTCAGCGAGCAGCGGGTGCAGCTGTGAGCTCTTCCTCGTCCCAAAGCACTTACAGGCGGTCAGAGTCTGGAGCAGCAGTCCCAGCTGCAGTCAACAGGCCAACCACACATCAAGTTTACTGCAAGGAAAGAAAATAAATTAAGCTCTCATAAAAAAAAGAAAAAAACAAATAAAAAAGAAACAGAGTATATGAAAAGAAAATAAAATCAACGCAGTGTCTTTTTCTTTTATTTTTGAGTTCAAAATGTTTTTGTTGCAGAAATAAAATTTTCTTTTCTCTGTAGCAGTTCATTGATTACATAAATGCAACACACTATAGTTTTTTAGACATAGCATAAAGGTTAAAAAACAATATATGCAGTGTTATTTTTATTTTAGATGTCAAAAGGGTTTTGTGGCTCCCGGTGTTTTCTGTTCTGTAGGAAATGAGTCCAAATGGCTCTTTGAGTGTTTAAGGTTGCTGAACCCTGGCCTAGCAGAGAGTAGGGGATGTAGAAGCTATCAATCTTGGGAAAGTATGTGAAATGACTTTCAGGTTCCTGCTACGATTGTCTAAAGTTTCGGCTCCATCCCATGAGGCTGACTCCACCTGCCTGGTAAAGAAAATAGATTAAAACACACGCCAAGAGTTACTTTCTTATAGTTTATGAAGTCAGCCTGGTTTAGTTCTGTCACCTACTTCATAACTGTAACATCCATATGTTCATCATCTCTGTGCCAGCTTCTTGCCCTTCTTAACTTTTTTTTTCCTCACCTTCTTCTTTACATTGTACTGCAAGCAATGATCACCTGGCTCTCTGTCTTTTCCTGCCCTGTTCTGCTTTGTTGTCATTCCTTTTTCTGTGTTCTCTTCGTCTGTCTAACTCTCTTTTCTCAGATGCACTTCTCTTTATTTTTATTTTATTTTTTTTACCTCACTGCCTTTCGTTGCCCCAGTAGCTGCTCTCTTTTTTCCCTGAGCCTTCTTTTTATCTCACCCCTCCCCCTTTTTTTTTGCGTCTTCTTTTTTTTTATATATATGTTCTGTGCCTCATCCCAACTTATTCAATTTCACCACCCTCATTTGTGATTGTTCCTCTGTCTGTTTTGTTCATTATTTTTTTGTTCATTATTTCCTAAGATTTTTCAAATTTTTATATTTCACACTCACGTCTCCCTCATCTTCCCGAGGCACATATTCATATCTCCCTCTCCCTCTCTCTCTTGCTCGCTCTCTCTCTCTCTGTCATAGTTTTCCACACAGCTCCACCACTGTTCTTTGTGTTTCTCACTCTGGCTTCCCTCCACACACACACACATATATATATATCCCACCCTTTTCTCCCACCATATCACTAGGGAAAGGGTTATTGAAATGAAGCGCTGGGTAGAACAAAGTTTTTATCCCTTTTTTTCCTTTCCCTGCTCAGCTCTTGATACAGCCACTTCACTCTTCACTGATGTTGCAACAAAGTGGCTGTGTGCTTCTATTAGAACTGTGGAGGAAAGCAATAGAAGTATGCGTGCAGAAGGGAGGGGGGTTAAAAGTGGGGTTGAAAGAGATCCATAGTGTTAGTGCAAGGAAAATGCAGGAGGGTGGCAGTGGTGGGAAAGGCAGCGGTTGATAGAGAGAGTACTAAGAGGGATTGAAAAGAAGCTTGTCCTCAAATCATCCAGTAACTGCCAGCCGACCCCCACATGCTTCAGTCACCGCCACTACTCTCTCCTTGTTTCTCCCCTTGGACCAGGGCTGCAGGAAGGCTGGAGGCCACCAACTAAAAGCAGTCATCAGCACAGGTCCATCTTGCCACAATTTATTGCCTAATGGTTCTTCGGGTAGTGGGAAAGAAAGCGCAAGTAGGATTACTGCTTCTGCTGTAGATACAGCAGCACTATCACCATAACAATGTGGTTAATAAGAGATCATTTACTATACATAGATATCTGTTCTTCTACATTAGAGCTTACAGTTACACACTGATCATGACGAATATCACAGAAAGTCTGTTTAAAACAAAGGTAAAAATATTTTTATAAAGACAGTGAAAAAAATGAACAATACAGAAATCAGTGTAAAAATATGAATTTTAAAATGCTGCAGATGAAACACACTTTGTTTCTTTGATTAAAGCAACTCTGTCGATATTCAGCAGCAAATTTGCCACATTTTATCAAACTCTGATTGGCTACTTTTCAAGAAACGTCAAGGTACTTTTTACTCAAAGACAATCGATGAGGAATGTTGTTCATCAAGTGGTATCTTACTGATAAACACGTACTTCAGTGGTAGTTTTCTAAAGATTCAACCTTGCATTGATTATACCAGATTTTTTATGTTTACCACATTTATGAAACAGAAATAAGCTGTAAACACAACATTGACATACGACCACCTTTTACAGTTTTTCTCAGTTGCTTTGGTACATTTCTCGAATCATTCTCAGCATTTGCAAAACAGTAAGTGCATTTCTCAAAACTATTCATACGAATAGCAAAACAACACAGATTACCTGCAAAAGGCAGTTACTTGCTCAAAATCCTCAGTTCATCTCTTAAAAATAAATATCTGTGTCAATGAACATGTCAGTGCCATCAGAATGACAAGTCCTTGTGTCAGTGTGTACGGATAAGACAGTCAAACTGTTTAGTCATGTTGTCAATATAACAGTTTACTCTGGAGGGGTGTTCTGATGTAAATTATGGCTAAAGTTTTGATGACAATTATTGTAAATTGTGAGTTACACCTTAGTATATGTAACAGATTGATTACAAGAGACTGGACAAGGTTCACATTTACACTTTTACTATTTGAACTGTAATTTGCTAACAGACCATGTCACTGTGATACAGAAAGGAAAGCACAGCACTGCATAGCACAAAGAAAAGAACAAAAAAAACAAAAGTAAAACACAGGACAATCTCATTAGGGAAAGCTGTACACACAGTGGTGTAGGAATTACAGTGCAGGCTTCCTCTATACTTGCCAGCTGATGGTTCATAAGATGCACCTTTGAGCTATTTCAGAAAGCGGGTTGATTGTTGGTTGATCTATGTAATGCTACACACATTTCCCTTCATTAGAATAGTTAAGATTCACCTGGGAGCAATTTACCAGTTCAGGACAGATGTAGAAAACAAAGTCTCATAGAACTGTATAGAAATATGCTTGACATATTATGACAACTTGTTCAATCATTTTGCATGTAAAGACTTATGCAATGAACTAATGTCTAAATGTTGTAGGGAGTGAGACTATTCAACAGAGACCCATTATAATACATTTTGATCAACATGACAAAAGCAATTGATAATGTAGGAAACAGCAGAGAATTGCACGTAATCATTTGCATGGATGTACCAAAGCATTTAGAACTTGTTCAAAGAAATGAGAAACTGCTTTTTTGATGTGCACAAGTGACACAATGATGTGAAGATTGAACAAGTAGTTTCGAGAATTTCAATTCGGATCTGAGAAATGTACCAAAGAAACTGAGAAAAATTGTAATAGGCAAACTTGTTGACCAACAATTGTTTATTTACACATTTGGCAGATACAGAGAAATGGGAGCATTGATTTTGATGTTTCTGGTCATATTCATTAAGCAGTGGACTTCTGTGTGTTAAAATTGGAAGTGACGAGAATGAACCAACACAATCTGGGGCTTTAAAACCAAAACAAAGTTCTAAAAGGTGCTAAAACTCTCCATACAACGACAACAATAAAAATTTTTTTCATTGCAAGTGACTCCTCATATACACCGGGGATGAACAATTAATCCGAATAATATCGATATCAAAATATGGACAAATGCAATATCTAAACCACTTTATCTTGATAAAGGTAAATGTGACACAACATACTGATATTATTAAAGCATTGTAATGGTACAGAGATCACACGACATACAATTCATATTCCGTGGGTGTAAGGGAACATGCGACTGCAGATAGACATCATATCATCATTTTTTATCTTTGTTTCAGTGGAAAACAAAAGCAGCGGTGACCCTTCACACTAACATCACATCAAGACTAATATCGCAGTATCTGTCAACATAATTATAATATGATTCTTTTGTCATGTCATATGATTCACTTTTAATATCAAATTTAATACAGCTTTATCTTGATGGCGCCGCTTCAAGAGGAAGAGCTTCCTTCCTGCATGGCCTCTCAGCCCATGGCGATGTAAAATATCCTTGACTGTGGACACTGACACCTGTGTTTCAGCAGCTTTTAATTTATTCCAGACCTGTTTTTCTGTGATTTTTGGTTGACTATTGACCATCATTCAAGTCAGTGATTTGCGTTTTCAGATCTTTGCTGAGCTCCTCAGACTTTCCCACTGTAGCGTTTGTGTCTGAGTCTAATGAGTATCCAGTGGGGCCTATTTAAATTGGCCCAGAGGAGTCAGCAGTTGTTGTCAATCGTAATCACTCACAAGAAGTTAGGAGGCCATGCCACTAACAGATTTGATTAACACAACTTTCTACATCGACAAAACTGATAATTCAAGTTGCTGTATGTATATTTTTGACCCAGCAGATTTGGTCATGTTTCCAGAAGAACTATGATAAATTTATAAACCAAAATGAAAAGAATGTCATGATATACATGGTTTTTAAATGTAAACTTTTGTTCCCAGCTATATGTATAGGCTGATATATCTGACACACCTTTGACCTTGATTTTTGTAACATCATGTGGTACGTGCTCCCCACCACTTTCATCAAAACACCAAATGAAAGAATATCTTTTAGAGGTGTTGGATGGGGCTTGAACAATCTATGCTAAGACCATTGAAGCACATCTACAGGCTCATTGTATCCACAACAGCTTGTTGTGATACTTAATGTTGGCTTTTTCTTGAACATCCACCTATAATTATGAATCGTAAAAATAAATCTTAACAGCTGTAGCCTGTTTTGATGTCAAAGTACACGATGCATAAGCAGTGATTCTGCAGTTTTTTTGTGGTATTTGGTGGTTTCCAACAGATGATAAATGCTAATAGAAGCTAGGGTGAGAAAGCCCAATAGGTTGCTGTAGTCCTCTTCATTGGTAGTTGATAAGCAGCCAGCGCACTGAGGTCATTCTCAGACACATAATTTATTCAGGTCTATATGCTATTGTCACAATCTGCCAGGATCAGCGTTTGCTATGTGTAGTGTGGGTGTGTTTAATGTCTTTAATGTATGGTTTTACGCCCACAGTGAGAATTGCCTTGCCTTGCCAATACTGTGTGAATAGAGAAAAATGAATTGAATTATTGTAGGTAGCGATAGTGTCGGAGAGTGCTGGTGGAATTGGAGGAGGGCAGAGATGGCTAAGACCTGAGCAATACCTCACTGCGGCCTCTGCTGCGTTGACAGAGAGAAAGAAAAGGCCAAGACAAAAAGAGTGTTCACAGGAACAAAAAACAGCAGACATTAAAGAGGCAAGGGAGCAAGAGAGAGAAACCCTAACAAAGGATGGGAAAGCCTGTAGTCAAGACCTCTGTCTGATCAAAGACACACAGACTGAATGAAATACTTCCAGGTCCATGTCACCCATTCATCCTCCTGTTCTCACCTCCATTCTTTGAGTTTTATTTGCCACATAAATAAAGGTGAGCATCCGCAGTAGTCACTGATTGATGTCTGGCCAGTAGTTGATAGTAAGAACAGTCTCTTTGTTTTCTTTCTCTAAACACCTCACTCTTTCTTTTACCACAAAGGAAAACACGTGTTTTTGTCAAAAAGAAAACATCATGCTTTTGAGTTCTTTTATTTATTTAGCATACGTCTTCTGGAAATATTGTTTTATATATTTTTTTATATTTCTTTCTAAACTATACATACACAAATACTAATATTTGGTTAAATAAGTCTAATTTTATTTCTAGCCTACTAGATTTAATCATTCCTTTACCACTTTTGATACGCTCTTATTCTCCTGTCTTCTTATTGGATGTATGTGGATGTAATACGTACAGAAATGTGTTTGCATAGGGTAGACCAAATGATGTTTTCCTTAATATCTCCTTAATATTGAGTGAAATTCTGCAAAAAATAAAAAACGAAATAAGCTTTTTATATATAGTTGTGACTTGATAATCCGACCCTTAACAATCCGAAAACCTTGCTATTCGACAGGTTTTTAGGAAAAACGAACGGAATCCATGAAAAATAGCCTTAACATACCGACAGCCTTGGATTCCGACTCCGACATGATATTTTATGTCACAAATAAGGATAACGGCGTATTATCTGACTGAACAATCCGACAGATTGGCTACATTCAGACTGTAGGACTTCAGATTTTTTTGTGAAATCCGATTTTTTTTGCGAGTTTGTTCACATTCCCAATTAATTACAACTTGTTTGTGATCTGCTGTGTGAACTTCATATGACCCAAAAGTGTCCCGCATGCGCAGAAGAGAACATAATGGCATCACACGCAGCGAGCGTGCTCAGTGTTTGTGGAAGTAAACACGGAAAGTGTCGGTGGAGCGTATCTGCCACTCCCCCACCACCGATAGTGGAAACAGAAGTGTGACCGCTAACTAAACTAGCATCAGCAGCCAAGTACTGCCTGTGCGTTCCAGCCACTTCAACCCCATCGGAGCGCTCCCCCGGGGTGGAAGTGTCCCCCCGACCACGCCAAATATTCAACATTATTTGGATCTGTGTTGTTCAGACTGTCATGAAAAGATCAGATTCAGGTCACATAAGAGAAAAAACTAATCGGATTTGGGTCACTTCAGCCTGCTGTCTGAACGAATTTACCTTTGATGTCAACCGACAGGCCCGTGCACAATTGCACCGGTAAATTAGTCATGAAATCCAGCGATGCATAGTGTTCTAACAATACACGAGTTATTATAACAATTATAAACAATGAATATTAACAACAAATTACCCTTCAAGCATCAAGCCCTCCTTGTATCTTGACCTCTGTCTTGAAAATCCGACAGCCTTGCTATCCGACATAAAAGAAAGTTTTACATTTAGTGTCGGATTATCGCATCACGACTCTATATTGTTTTCATGGTGGAGCATTGAAGCAGCTTTTACTACTGGACAGGGCCTGTGGTAAACATAGAGAAAGACTCTCTTAATTTTTTGTGTTAAGTAATGCTTAGACTGAAGCAGTCAGTTTGTTTACCATAGTTGTACCAAAGTATTACTACGAAAGAATTTTTTTTGGTACCTAAATGGCAACAGTTTGTCCAAACATTTGGCACCTATCCTAACTAAACCGGTATGAATGTCTTTAAGTTTGATTTTTATGCATCAATGAAACATTTGTTATTGCTCAATGAAACCTCTGAACACCAGTTTCTGGGGATTCTTTACTACTTTTACATCACTGTGGGCCAATTTATCACTGCAATATGAAGTCCTGCATCTCTATGGAAGCAGTAAAAGATGGCTAGAAGTTAGGAGACCTTAGAAATGACATTTGTGCTGTTAACCAGTGTTATGATGCTGTAAATCACAGGAAAAAAGGAGGGGGAATGTGAAGTTGAATTTCTTTGTTTATTTTTCTTTTCTTTTTTTTCTTATTGAAATAAACAGGGATCGGCATATATAGTATTTTTCCAAATGCTCACGTGTTACCATTAATGGGGGAGAAAAGTTTGCCTCCATACTGTCAATTTTTGTTTTACATTTGTAATTTGTTTCAATACTCATCTCCTCTCTGCTCTATGTAAACACAGCTTTCAATTCAGCTGAAAAATGTTGCACCATCTGAGCTGTGTTAGTGGTCTCATATAGTTTAGAGTGTAAGTGCCAAAAGGTCAACACTAATTTTACTGAAGATAATAGGGAGCCAGAAACACACCCAGTGTAATAATATCAACATTCACTTAGTAATAGTAGTTATAGGATATAATACTAGTCTGTAACTCTGCCTGTGTTTCTGTCTGTCTGTAGAGTCCATGTGAGGAGGACAGATAAAGTGGGAACAGAGGCGGCCTTCCACCCCATAGAAGAATATATGTTGCATGTAGAGGAACAGTTCCAACATCTGGCCAGACGTGTTCACGTGGACAAGAAACGCGTTTACCTGGCCACCGATGACCCCTCGCTGCTGCAAGAAGCTAAGACTAAGTCAGTATCCAAGCAAGAGTCTGTGTGTCCGTGCATGTCTGTGGGTGTGTGCGTGCGTGTGTGTGTGTTGTCACTGAGGGTTTCTGTCTCATCTGATGTGTATTTGTGAATATGTTTGTGGCCCTTGTGTTTTGGTAATTCAACTATATTAATTTTGCTTTTTCAGTGTGTGACTCTATTTGGCCTTGTGTGTTCGTGTTCCCTTCAGGTATCCAGACTACGAGTTCATCAGTGATAACTCCATCTCATGGTCGGCAGGCCTTCACAATCGCTACACTGAGAATTCACTAAGAGGAGTCATCCTGGACATCCACTTTCTGTCCCAGACTGATTTTCTCGTGTGCACCTTCTCCTCACAGGTGACCATATTCCACAGTTCACAATTAGAAAGAGCAAGTTTTTCTCCTAAAACTGAAATTTGAAATGGATTTGATACTGGGATGAAAGCAGCCCAAATTTACACAGAGAGCTGAGTGGAGTTTTGATGTTTGCTTTCCTAATATGGGTGATATGTAGTAAAAAAAAAAAAAAATTGTTATAATAATAAGAATCTTGTCGTCTGTTACTATCTGCCGTTAGGACATTTTCAAAATGATTTTCATTATGAGCAGCTAATACAAAGGTTAGAAGTAAATAAAAGTCCACATTTCCAGGGCTTTCAAGCCTTATCATCCACAGTTAGGTCATGTGATAGTTATAGAACTATGTCCAAAGACGAACAAAATGAAAAACAATAAGATAAAAACAATAATACTTTGATTGTACCTTTTAAACAGGCTATAGAAAGGTAAATGAGGTCACAAATGATCAAGGCATCTATGTAAAGCTGCAGAAATGACAATTACCGCTTGATGTTGTCAGTCTGTCACAAGGCAAAGCAGAACCACTTTGATAATCACAGTCATGTGATTGTCAACAACCTCAGTTTCCTGTCATAACTCACATGTTTCAATGCATAGAAACAGTTTAGCCCATTTATTACAGCTGTGACGTCACGGTGGCATTTGTCACACGCTGTTCTCATCATCTCATCTTTAACAGGGCTGTTTTATAGTTAAACATCGAGAGGAGAACCTTCCTGCCAGCCCTGAAAATAATGGTCATGCTCTATAAATCCTTTTCTCATTCTGGGCTTATTAGTCCACTTCAAGGATCTACCTGCAATAAGTCTTTTAGCACATTTTATCCCTCTTTTATCAGGATTGAACTGAAGTGTATGTCTGTCAGTGAGAGGTCCCTTCGTCTTCATGTCTCTGCAGCATTATTATCAAGACATTTATAGATCTTCTGCATTTATTGATCTAACTGTGAAAGTAATACCTGTTGGTGTGTGTGTCTCAGGTCTGCCGTGTGGCCTATGAGATTATGCAGACGCTGCATCCAGATGCCTCCTCCTTCTTCTACTCCCTGGATGACATTTACTACTTCGGAGGTCAAAACGCCCACAATCAGATTGCTATCTACCCACACCAGCCACGCAGCAGCGAGGACATTCCCCTAGAGCCCGGCGATGTGATTGGCGTGGCCGGAAACCACTGGGACGGATACTCCAAAGGCATCAACCGCAAACTGGGCCGCACTGGCCTCTACCCTTCTTACAAGGTCAAAGAGAAAATCGAGACCGTGAAGTACCCAATGTACCCTGAGGCAGACAAACTGCTCAACTCTCAAAAGAAGTAAAAGAAGACATGAAAAAAAGAGAAAAGAATGAGGAGAAACACGCAGTCTCAGATTCCAGGGATGGAGGCTGCTTTTGTACAGAAGAGAGAGGCGTACTCGGTGCGCTAAGCTGAGAAGAAAAGAAAAAGTCTGTACCCAGGGGTGATAGGAATAAGAATGCACTCTGTGTGTTTATGTGTGAGCGCGCGCATGTGTGTATGTGTGCGCGGACGTATGTTTGCACTTGTGTTAATGCCTGTGCAAATGTCAGGTCATGGAAGACTTGCACCCTACCACTACTCCCCCCACCTGACATTCTGACGTTGGGTCTGTAGAAGATGTAGACGTGAACATTGATTTTAAATAAAGCAAGTAAACAATTACAATCTACAAAACTGACCAAGCTCTCTCTCCTGAGACAACACTGGGACTACTGTAAGACTGGCACAGCCCAGACTGAGCTTCAAATCAATGACTGAAAAAATTACAAACTGGAAAAAAAGTGTTTTGATTTTTATTTAATTCTTTACAGTGGTTTTGATTCTAATCTTGCCTTTTTTTCCCTGTTTTTTGTTTACTGAATGTACTGTACCCTCTTTTTGCCATGCTCACTGCTGCTCCTTCCCCTCCTCCTCCTCCTCTCACTGTGCTTCCTTCATCTCTTCTCTTTATGTGCAATTAATTTTACAATACCATGTTGTGCTTTTATCAAGTGTTTTAAATAATCTTAATTTTGTATGTATGGGGTTTGTGCACTATATACTGTATAGTGTGTGTGTGTGTGTAGGTGTGTGTGTGCGTGTGCGTGTGTGTGTGTGCGTGCATGAGGATGGATAAATGGGTAATGAAGTGTACCTGTGTGTGCTGTTTATGTCAAAGGGGCCATGACTTGACCAGGTGCCTGGTTATTGGTGAGCAGTGTGTGTTTTTTTATTTCTGGCTTTCTTCCTGACTGAAACGTGTTTGTGTGGCCAGCAGAAGACTGGCGGTGACAGTGGGGACTGTCCTCAGACCTCAGCACTTGGAACAATGGTGAACTCCAGTCACTTCGCTGGTGACCTCTAGTGAACAATGGTAAAATTATGTTGAGTATGGTGCACGCACACACACAAACACAAGAGCCGTCCCGAGGCTCACCAAAAGAAGCACTCCACTGAGATAATGTCCTTTTCGGCATCTTTGCTGTCTCTTTTGTCCTCCTGTTTGCTGGGTTCTTTTTTTACTTTTAACATTGCTGTTTTAAAATAAATGAGAAAATATGCCTATGTTTAAAAATGATAATGCTATGTCATATCAAACTCAGTCCCCATCATGAAGGGTTTTTTTCATAACTTATGTTCTTGGGCATTGTCTTTGATAACCACAGATCAAATAAATTGAGAAACCAACACAGCATCTTTCCCTGCAGTCTGATTCTGTTCACCACCTGCTCCTCCATCTCTTAACAGGCACCACCTGCTCATTCAATCAGGCTAAACATGCTTTATCTCCATTACACACATTTCAGGCTGAAAATCAAGGCTTTTTTATATTTGAAGAGTTCAGTTCCAGAAGGGTATCCATCTATTTTTGAAGAGTAAAAGTCACTACCTGAAGTTCATCTTTTGATATCTCTATAAAAAAAAAAGAGGAGCCTGCCTCTAAAATTGATATCATTTTGGCAACGTAGGATTAAAACTATCCCACAGTTTCAAAAAGTCACAGTAGTTTGTTTTATAAATCATTCATTACGAAAGTGAATTCATTTTTAAGTCATTTCAAAGCAGAAACTCTTGACTCTGTCTTTGATTTACATTTCAAACTGAGGCCCAAGATCAGTACCTTCAACAGAAACAGTCCCATCCTCCATTTGTATATGGTTTGTGACAGCTACATGGCATTTCTGCCCCAAATACCAAACATTTCTCCCCATGGAGTCACATTGTGGGTATGACAGTGAGGCATCACAGACTTCCTGCTCTTGTCTTGTGTCCTATTTCCTTCTTCCTGCATGTCTAAATCGTTTATGATCTTGTTCTCTGTGTCTTATTTATGGGCTGTCTTGTTACTTTCTTACTCAGGGGGCTCTGGGAGTTTCAATTCAGATCCCTCTTTAATTTCAATGCTGATCTGCATGCTTCATTAGACACCCGTAAGGAAAGCCACAGCACTTGTAGAGGAGATGGACTTTTTGGTATTTGCAAAGGAGAATAATAGTTTTGTTACTTTTTTTTCTCTCCCGTGCTTGTCAACAATTCGCAACCAATTTGGCCTACACTGGCAAAGCATTCACAGTACACACGCAGTGAACAGCAGTTCACTGAACATCTCTTTTCACAGGAAAAGAATCCCTCGTGGGCTTTACAAATGCACTTGCTAACTGGAGGGCACTTTAATTATAAAACACTTGTTGCTGTCACAGTGGCGTGAAACGGCCATTTAAAAGAGATGTTACTTTAGTTAATTATTCTGTTAACTGGCTACCACTCCTGATAAAGAGCATTCAGGTTTGTACCAGGCAGGTCTGTTTCTCTGGTATTGTGGTCTAACTGTTTTGCTGCTCGTTGGGAGCGCAGTGAGGCCATCTGTGGGCCTTTCCCTTCAAGTTCTGCCTGGAACAAGATACTGTCCCATGCGAGCGTCTCATCCATTTTTAAACACATGCATCAACAGGTTGCATTTTGCCACAGACTTGCTTTAACGATTGGTCCACATTTTTTCAAGTCTGTGTCAAAGCAATAATGCCCATAGATACATAAAGAGTCACTGGTTGCTTCTGTCTCCATGCGGATCCCTCTTTAAGGTGGCCGCTATGTAAGAGATAAGGGACAAAATCCACAGGCTGTTTTTTTCTCTCCAACTGTGTTTCCTTGCCGAGCTGTGGTGCAGGGATGGTAATAAGCAGCTCTGTGAAGCTATATTTAGGCACAGCAGTGTTTTGAATTAAATGCTAACATCAGCATCCTAACCTGCTGATGTTTAGCAGGTAATATGTAATTTCCACTAGCTTACTTTAGACTGCTAGCATGGGAATATTTTCTAATTAGCATTAAACACCCCCTCTGGTGAAAATCTACTCTATCCTCTCATGTTTTTTTTTTTTCTTTTACCTTGTTAACATGTCCATATGGTGTTTTTTTTATATGCTGGAGGACACATGTGAAATAAGCAGTCAACAGCATGGCTGAACATTCCACTTTGAAACTGCAGTGTATCAAAAACACTGGTTCAGATGTTTGGGGTATTTATAGCAAAACAATTCCATCAACTTGCAGGGTGGGACTCTTTTCTTCAGAATCAACTTCAGGTTTGAATGTGTATGTCTAATTTACTCTATAACATTTTAGTCTGTAGCACAAAACAGTTTTACAGAGTCTGAGCAGAGTTGTAGGTGAGCTGGTGTACTGAGCTGCAGTGAGAGAGGCAGGGACTTCCTAGATTTCTTAACCAATTTTAAACCATTGTCAGGCAAGGATTGTTTTCATTGTAAAAAAAAAAAATACATTAAAAAAATTAATTTAAACGTATAATTTTATTGCACAGAGATGAGTAACAGTGGGACACAATGTACAGCTGAGGCTGATGAGTTACTGGCTTTCCGGTAGTGTGATGAAATAAGGTGTGGGGTAAACTAAAATGTTGTCCTGATGGCAACACTGGATGGAAAAATTAGGGGATCACCAACTCAGAAGTTATGCAGTGACTGATTAAATTCTATAGAAATCCACTAGGTATTTGACAGGATATTTCATGCAAAGTACTGTGGCAAAAGTCAGAATCAACTAAGTCAAGCCATGAACAAGTTGTTAAGACATTTTAATCTGGACTAACGTGCTGGACAGACGGACCTTGACATGCATAATAACTACACAGAAGCATCCTAACAACTTTGGATAAACTGATCTTGATGACTTTGGACTGTCTCTCATCCCTTATCTGGACTGGCTGTGTGAGAATCACTTCACAGCCAATCTGGTGAGTAACCGATAACTCATCAGTGCACATGTGGATATGTAAAAAGTTTTTCCAAACAAATTTCAGAAACTCTGAACCTATCCTTTAAGGGGCTGAGAACACAGACCAAGATTTCAACGCGGCTGTGTAACTGGTGGAATACATATTATATAGAGATAAGTGGGTACCTCATCGCCTGGTGGAATTCTAATCTTGTAAAGGGCAGCTGAATTAATTCTGACTGACTCATGAAAAAGGCAGCGGGAATGGAAATGATTATTGTAGTCCTGGCTGACTCCAATCAGTACTCTGTTGGCACAGCAGTAACAAGTGAAGTCTGCCCTACGGTAGCTGGCCCACATCACAGCTGAGGGGAGGAACTCAAACAAAAAACTGTCAGGTTTTCACAAGGCAAAGAAGATGTAGGTGTCAGTCTTCCTCCTCTTAACCTTAAATCAACTCAGTAATCAGCAGCAGTTTGGATTTTATTTGCTCAGTATTTTTAATCCCACCTGTTATCTCGACTCAGTATAATCCTCATTCAATAAAGCCGATTCTTGGCACAGAGTATGGCCAACTTAAGCGGGTGAGAACCACATCATCACTCAAAGGCACAAAGGCATTTTGTTTGGCACACATACTGTAGCTAAATGTTATCCCTGCCGTACATCCAGTATATGAGTGGATCTAATGGCGCGCTGACACAAAGGAGTCTGTATTTTTACTCGGAAAACAAACTCCATCATTTTGCTTGATAGGAAGACCCTTGAAATGAATTTGGACATAAAATGTTGGAAGATTTATTAAATTGTTGAGCTTCTTTAACTGTAGGAAGCATCATATTTAAACAGGATAGAATCAAAGTAGAAAACGGCATAAAAAGTAATTAAGCTACCTTATGTGGCATGATTACAACAATAAAGAATCATGAATTATGTCATTAGGTGCACAACAATATCAGCAGCACTGGTGGTGCGACAAGATGTGAATGGATGCAATGTGCTGCAGGACTTGTGACTATGAGCTCACTGGATGCTGGTTCTAATGAAGACTGGAGGTGAATGGGATGGACAAGGGTTACATCAGTCAGTTGCATCAAGAAAAAGTTGATTACTCTTGATTACTACTGCACTTCTCAGCCAGGCTCTTGATGATATTTAAGATGGTCTTCCTCTCAGACCTGTGCCTCGCCTGAGGTCCTCTGAATAGAACCGGTTGGCTGTTCTTGTGTCTAGATTTAAGACCAAAGGGGGTCATGGCCCAGCAGCTCTGAACTGATCTATGTATGTCATTAAATCACTCCCTAATGACCCTTAGCCTATTAGTCTTTTGGTTCTCAGTTTATAATGGTTTGGTGTATGTAAAACACTGGTTTGGAAAATTTGGCAAATCACAGGCTCAGGCACAGAGGGCAAGAAAAAATCTAAACTGAAAGAGAGAGAAAGACAGAATCAATAATATAGGCAGTGGGTGATAAAGATTGGAGGTATCAGCAGAAGACGCCTAACAGCGAGTTGTTGACAGCTTCATGAAGAACACAGCTGGTGTAAGAACTCAGAGATGCTACAGATAATTGAGCTGCAGTAACTCGACACTCTGTAGTTCTTTGTATTAGCAGCCTGATGAACACCGAGTGTGTTATTACCAGTGATGTTGAAATAATGGCATATGAATGCATGATAATGATGACAGTGAATATATTTTTGAGACAATGGTGTTTCAGTCTTAAATCTTTCATAGTTTTGATCATTAACTTGATCTTAAGAACAGTAATCCACTGATCAGATTAACTGGGAATGGCAGCTGTAGAGGTTTTAAACAAAACAAAATAGGCTAAATACTAAGCAATTTTATTTATTAAATATATTTGTTTGCATGGCCTAATTTAGCATTGGTGGAGTCTCACCACATCACATTTTTCTTTATCATTGCCTGTTATTTGTTTGTTTGTTTGTTTTTAAAACCTACAAGGTCATTCAGGTAAACCATCATTACCACCTTCAAGTGTTTTACAGTCCACCTACATGCATTTTTTAGTAATTAACAGCTGTGAAATACAGGACAAACAAGGTGTCTGTATTTGCTTTCTTCCATGTTTATTATGCCCCTTTCTTCTGTGTTTACTTTACTCTCTTTGTGTTACTTTCTTATTCTTTATAAAGGGTTATTTGTGTGATAAAGTGATCAAAAGAAAGTGATCAGGCCTGAATTAAAAGTCACAGTGGATACAAGTGAGCCCCTAAATAAGAGACCCCATCTAACTTTATCTGCCAGTGATAACTCTCTGTAATTAACCGTCACTACTGTTGTGCCTTGTTTTGCTCTTTCACAGCTTTTCTGAACATTTGGACTTCTGTCGTCCTCTCACATGTCAGGAATCACTGTTGGGAGTGCAATGCTACATAATCATTAAAAATGATGATCAAAAACTACAAATACAAGACACTGGTTGGAATTCACTC